GCACATGGTCGATTTCCCCACTACTGTAGGTGACCTTATTCTGAGTCTCCCTTTTCGCGAAGAACGTGCTGCAGATTGCCAGATCGTGGGCCGTAGCCAGGTCCAGGACCCTCTCTCCCTCGGCGTTCCTCACTCCTATCCCTCTACCTCCGTGCACCCTTTCCAGGCCTCTTCTGTCACTGCCGACGTGGCCATTCAGATCACCTGCTATGGTCAGGTAATCGCCTTCCGGAACCGTTCTTATGGCTTCGTCCAGGCTCAGGTAGAACTTAGCGTTTTTCACTCGCGTCTCCTGAAGGCATAGGACTTGGATATTCCTGCGCGTCATCAGATCAGCAACCTCTCGGGACTTCCCAGTTAGCGATCCTACGTTCAGAGTCCCAATTCGAACTAGCTTCTTTGGCCGAGGCCGTTCACTCCTCGGTAGCCCTCGCATACTGACCACAGAACTCGGGCGGGGGTTCTGCGCGCCACTTCCGGGTGACGTCCTAGCTTTATCACTGATTCTTTTTCGACTTTAGACATGTTTGGTGTGACTGGGGTCTTCATCAGCCGGCCTGTCAACCTGGGCCTGACGCTGGTACTAGAACCATTTTTGCAATTTTTGCAAGGCATGGTTTAGAGCCTCGGCAGGGATCGAACTCGCGGTTTTCAGAGGTGCAGACATGAGTCTAACTCTTAACCTTATTGCTCAAAAACCTATGGGGAAAAAGTGCGAACGTGTGATTTTCTCGGAAAATGAACTTTGAAAAGGGTTTGGGCTTGTTAGAAAGAGCAAATCCTGTACTTTCACCCATGAAAAAAGTGCATCACAGAAATGAAAATGAAGTGAGTTATGGCCGCTGAAAGCCCAAAAACTCGCTTTTGCACGAAAAATGTTCGAACGGGACAATTTTTTGAAAAAGGGGACAATCACTAACTTTTTATACTGTTTTGTTAGAGAAATATTTGAAGTTTCTGAAACTTTTTACAGCTCGCATACGAAAGATTTTATGGGCCTTCAAAGTTGAAGGTGCGCCTTCTTAGAATTTTGGGTTTTCCACTTCTAACAGAAGTACTTTCCGGAGAGTTAGGCAATCCTTGTAGTTTTCTGAAAGCGCACCTCAGGCACAGTCCAAATCTACCTCCAACGATCAAAAAAGTATGATTTCGAAGGGAGCTAGGTCTCTTCCACTTTTTTGCTTGCCACTCTAAATGCTCTCACCACCTGAGTGATACCTTTTGCGCCCCAAGGCTAAGCCGCAACACAGTCGCGCCCTAAAGAATTGTAAGTTTCCTTGCATATTCCATCTGGTTTTGCTTTGATCTTGTATCTTAACGAGATTCTCTTCTACACGCTGTTTTGATCATGAATGGGAAAGGGGTCTGAGTGGCATCACCACTGAGACTGGTAGATCCACGATTTGCTTTGTGATCACAATTGCTATGAAGTGCTTCTTCGTGTTGTTCCTAAATTGCGGTCATCAGGGCATGGAGGCGGATAAAACGATAATCAAGGTGGTGCTTACTTAGACGGCGAGATGTGGATCATACATATGGTTCTCTACCCAGAGAATTTCAAATTTACATAGAGTGAGTACTACAGAAGATCTGCAACGATACATGCAACGATAATCGAAGCTATAGGAGACGCTATCGGCCTATCTCAAATGTTGGACACCAAGCGCGTGCGAACACTGCTTCCAGAAAACTACAAATTCTACCTGCTAGGATCCCTAGGTTTTCACAAAAAAATTTACCTCTGCATTATCTGGATTCCTGGCACCAGCAATCACAAACTTCACAGATTGAATCTTCAAAAATTCACGAACAAAACCAAGACCAATACCTCTGTTTGCCCCCGTAATGAAAACAGATGCAGGATACACCATCTGAAAAACAAATCGAGAAAAAAAGAGAAAAATCACAAATGTTCCAGCTAATGCAGGAGCAGTTTATGTGAAAGAATTAGAAAATATCTGCGCACATGAGAACCAGAGGATATCATCATCGTCATCACCATCATAATCTGTGCTCTTCAATTTAAAACACATAGCTACGAATTCTAGCTAACTGGAAACTACTGGAATCGGACTTCATCATCAACATGTTCACTGTCAAGTCTCGCTAGGAATCGCGAAGGGATAACACCCCTTCAAGTTGTGCCGTTGTGAAAGTTGTTGACCGACTGAATGTTTATTTATCCATGTATACACCACTTCCATACATATTTCTTTTTTCTACAAGTCTACAGTTACTGTAAAGTTGCCTTCTCAGAAACACGTGTCTGGCTTCATGATAGGAAAGGCTATGCTTCAATGTCCTCGTTGGAAATGATCTATGAATCCCACCCATTGGAATGAATGGCGCGAACAATTAACAAAGTTCCAATGGAAAGAAATATGTATAGAATCGCAATAGTGAACGTGAGATACTCAACAACAAGGAAACAAAACCGTGACACAGAAAGCGAGGTGACAATTTTTCAAAACAAAAAACTAGTCATTTGAAGTATTTTTTAAATTAATGGGGTCACTGTGTTATACACGTCCAAGAATGCCGAAAGTATACTACTCTTCAATTACGTCTCCTTTCGCTCCTAAACGTTGTGGATTGAATGAATAGTATATCTGCCACGCTGTTCACCGGAGCGGCACTACTGTCAGTGCTAGATCCTGGTGTAGATGTAGATGCACCTACAATTGATTAGATATGGTTGAAAAAACGATTTGGCCGGTTTCGTGGAAAAATTATGCAAAATACATCTACGGATTCCTTTTTTTCTGCTGCACACAAAATAGGTAACGTACAGTTAATCTGGCACAGCTTTGTCTTTCTGGTGGAAAACATACCTGCTGGAGGCCGTGATGGAGGAACAACAAGCTTCGATGGAGGAGAGCGAAGCTAGGTGGTAAGGGTGGAAGAGGTATGTTGAGTGGATCAATACGTTGACGTTTAGAGCTAGATGGAGCCAAATCATCAGGAACTGGGCATGCTGGAAGCATAAAATTAAATCTGTTGATCTGGACACAATGAGTATTATGCAAAAATTTCCTGCTTGACGTACGACTTCGTAACGAAAGGTACTGGTTTATGTTCGCATAGATTCATCCGCTTTTTGGGCTTGTGGCTGTCCCCATCGAATAACTAGACCCGGAACGCACCCTGGAATATAGAAATATCTAACTCATAGGATGATTTTTCGGTATTTTCATGGATGATAAAAACAGCTAACACTGAGGGACTCGAGCTAGATGCTAAAATTATGATGTTTCAAGAAAATCAGTTACTCACCTCACCTTTAGAAACAATTTATTAAACGATCTTTCAGCAGCCATTTCACATGATTCTCGTGTGGTAAACTGTATAAACGCACAAGACTTCGCCTCCAATAAGCGTAAACTTCGGATGTCGCCAAACTGATAAAAGTAGTCACTGAAATGGTTGAATAATATATGCGTTTCGCGAAGCTCAGCAACAGATATTGTAGCAGTGTTATTCAAACAACTTCCAAATCTTTCTGCGTTATTTGTCCGGCTGGTCCAAGATTACCCCACGTATAACGTAGTTATCGTAGTATCTGCGGGAGGTTCTAGCGCTGGCATGGCCTATAAATACCGTAATCAAAACATGTCAATCCATAGAAAAGTATATAAATTCAAATCTGTAGACACGCTCAGCAGGGAAATTTTTGCTTTTGCCACGAAAAAGAAAACATAAAAACCTCCGAAACACAAACTAACACTACCTAAGAAGGAAATATCTTCATTAAAAGAAAGTTACCTTGGCTCTGTTGAGAATCTTCTCTGCTACAGGATCATTGCTTCCATAATATCGATCTCTGATATTTTGAGTAGACAATGGGTCATCAGGATCAGATGGTTTCTCGCTAAGATATTTGAACCACATCCACTTCCATGACCAACGCCCGAACTGAGCTTCACTCAAAAACGAGAGCATGATAAGGGCTAAAACAAAAATTTCTCACCGATATGGGCACTCTTCTCCTCTCTTACATTCACCCTTCACATAGAATGAACAAATGTGGGGTGCATTTCGCTTGTAATATGGTGCCGTCCGCGCAAGCCGCTTTAACATTTCTGTTCCAGCTGTGTCACCAATGTTAGCCAGTGCTCCTATTGGTGTTGTGCCGTCAGTGTCTCGCAAGAGCTCTAAATTCCTTCAAATGATACGACTATTTTAGGTTAAGCAACTGAGACAGCATTCCGCGTCGCATTCTGCGGTAAAAATCCCTGTTGGCTCCTTGGCGAGGGATATTATCGGCTATCTGAAGAGCCGCATCACGAACTTGTACAGGAAGTCCTGAATATATAGACCTTTGAAAATAAAGTGAATTCATTCTGAAAAACATGGAACACGCACACGTCTGTTCCACAGAATTCCGATATATTGCTGAACTCGAAAGATCTCAAAATATGCTCTACACCACATCGCTTGCTCCCTCATTTGACGAGAAGTTAAAGTAAGAAAACGTAGATTCACGCGAGAAAAAGCGTTGAAAGATGTTCAACCAAAGAAGTAATGTTTGATAAAAAAAAACTTGCCATATTCCAGATCGAACATACACGTTTGGCACACATTCTTCACCTTGGCGCAAGTCTGACATAACTCTGTGCTCTTGTAACGTGCACCCTTTCCTGGTTGCCATCGGAAATTAGTGAATGGCCGTTCACATATCTTACATTCCTTGCCGAATTTGTCTTTCATCTGAATTTCAGACAAATGATCATAGATATGAAAGACACGGCACACCATTCACAGTTCACTTACCATTCTCAAATAAGGATTACTTCCAAGGCACGTTTGACACAATATAGGAAAATCGGCATCCTCCCAGTTCTTTCTGTTGTATTGCGTGTAGGACGACTTTGACATAGACATCCTGGTCTGTCCTGCAAATTGTGAAAGATTTTAGAAGGAATTCATCTAGGACAGTGGAAAATGAGCAATTTCTAATGCAACACCGAAATATTGACATCGGGGACATAACCGCGGCAGAAAATAGAACATTGCAAAAGCTTGGAACCGTTCATTAGGTTAGATACAAATAATTTATGAAGCACCTAAAAAAATAAAAATACATATATTAAGCTGGACATCTACTTGTGACAAGGAACCCATTGGAACCAGCAAAACAAGAACAAATGAAGATAATGGGTAACAAGATCTGAAAACAACATAGAACAATTCCCCATGACCAGACAGATCACAGCAATAAAGTTACGTAACAACAATTGAGAGAACCTAGAAATCTCTGCAGAGTAGGAAGTTGCAAAACATTCAGAAAAGTACATCAATAGATTGATATAGAACATCACAGGGTCTTATAATGACGAAAGCGTTGATCGAAGTGTGGGAATCAGTTCGTTCAAGGGCACGTCCTGAAAATTTGCTCATTATCTTCATTTTTCAGAATTCATTATTACTGAGAAAAACAATGGAGTTCCGGAGAAGGAAGAACTTGAAAAAAAAGTCCATAATTGTCTTTGCTGACCTGAACACTACCACAAATACGGATAGCACACATTTTTATTTCATCCCTTCAACACTGGTGTCAGAGTCCACGATCCGTGGCGCGATTGGCTGACGGATCGCGGACTCTGACACCAGCCTTACACGTGAGGTACTGGGGGGATGACCCCGAAGAAAATTGCGGCGAATGAAAATGAGCAAGAAACAAGAACACGAATTTATGCAACTGGTAGAAATCGTAGTGAAAAGGAAAGGGGAAGCGAGATATTTAAGAGAGAATTCCTCAGGAGTATGCTATTTTTATACACAAAATGTTCGGCCAAGAAACTATTGTACAGCCTCATTTCCCACTCAGCATTACCGCTTGGGACCCTCCGATTCCAATAAATGAAAACTCACCACCTTCACCCTGATTCAAGAAGCATCACAGAAATTACACTACAGAAAGAACTTCCATGATGAGAACAACCCTACCTGCTCAGCTCTTGTTTTAACATTTCGAAGTTTCACCACGCCTTCTTGGAGCTCGCGCTCACCCACTATCAACACTAGTGGGATCAGTCGGTCCTCGCAATACTGTAGCTGGGTGAGCAATTTGGGATTTGCTTTATAAGCTAGCTCAACCTGAAATTACACAGTAATTCAAAGCAAAACAGACAGTATAGTATGGCTTTTGCAGTACCTTGAACCCCTCATCCCATAGTGTCTTACAAAGCTTCATGCGCTCTTGTAAAAGATTCTTTTGAGCAGATGCGATGTAAATTTCGGTTTCAGTGGTCCGTACTTGCAGTTGTTCAATCTTCAAAAAATGGTGATAGTATAAACATAATGACCAAGTGAATAATTACCAACATACCTGCATTTTTGCTTCCATGATGGCGAATAACCGCTCGATACCAAACGATATACCGACACA